GTAAGATCATCCCCAAAACCCCAAAACCCCAAAACCCCTTTAGATAGATTTTTCTAAAATTTATGCTAAATAGAACTAATATTTTAAAACATATATCGAATTATTATCAGTAGCTTTAGATAGTTAGGGTATAAGGGCATTCTCAGATTTGATGATGATCTTACTCATCGAAGTTAAGCTCCTAGCTTTGATGTGGACACAGTTCTGAATATCGATCTAAGGAGACCTCAGGAGTATCTTGCCTTATTTGCATTCTGATGCTATCATAGAAATCTTTAGGAGATTTACTGCTGTTTTTCTTTGGACTTTTTCTTGAAGAATTCTAAGAGTTGAAGTCTAGGACATTATTTGAATCAGGTGACATTCTTTGATTGAAAGGATCCTCTTCCAATGTTTTTTACCTCAACAAGTTATTATCTGCTAATACAGAGTTATTTGAGTCAATCTATTCGATTGTATCTATCTAGTTTCTCTTAAGGATATTAGAATCATTTGATAAATCGGCACCTTGTGGGACATTATCCTTAAATGCTTTCTTTCCAGTGGAGTTTAATCTTGAAAGCCTTGATCTAGATTGTTTTTGAGATAAATTATGAATAGCTGTAATGTCATTAGCCTCTCCTTTAGCTGATTATCTAATAATCAGTATTTCTTTATAGAGTTCAATAGCTTCCCTTGCTAGGAACATTCTCAATAGCCAAGAACCATTATTTTCTATGTATCTTTTAATTAGAAGTGAGTTTATTGCAACTCTTACTAGGTTTGATACTATAATACTGCCAAAGAAACCAATATAGAATGATGAAACAAGGCAATACTAGTTGGAAACAGGCATACTTTATGACTAAATGAAGCATAGTGTCATAGCAATCATCGAGCAAATATAAGCTACTGCCATCTAAGCTAATAGCAGTGGTCTGCATCTGTGCTATAACTTAAGATCTTATGAATTTTCGTATTTGTATAAATGACTATGATTACTTTAGCCAAAAAGATCTCCATGGGACAAATGATCAAGAGCATTTTGCTTATAAATTATTCGCTACATTGTTTGAAGCTCTTTATTAGGACTAGAATCGCAATGTGGATTATTTTCACTAGACTGCTCTGGATGATAATTCATGTTGTTGCTCTCATGATTCTTTGTTTGATAGGGAGTGCCATTTTCAGATGGCACTGATTTGTTTATTATTGTCCTTCTATAGAGTCTATTGAATAAATTGCAAGGTATTAGCAAGATTGACCCGATAATACCAATCGCTAGAATGTAATTAATATCCTTCTGATCAATACCATATTCGAATCTTCCCTGTTCTCCTAGTCTGTAACTTGGACCAAAGACTAAAACAGTAATCAAAGCATATAGTGAAAGTTATAGGAGATAACTAATGAATCTTGTGATCCTTGAGTTCAAGACATCATGCTTTGCAAGCATATTTACAATAGGATGTAATTCTTGCACAAAATGTGAAAAAATAGTTTTACTTTCTTGAGAGAATTCTAAAACTTCATCAGCTCTAGTGATCCAATATTTATAAGGAAGACTAGTATACTTTGATATAACTACTAACTGCTATTTAAGGTTATTATCAAGCTTCCTTTGTTTGATAGCTTTTGTATCTCTTTTATCGAGTATCAAGAGAATTGTCGGTAGGACCAGTGAAAAGACTACAAGAATGAGAATTAGGGCAAAGAATGAGAATGATTCATCAACTTGAATGTAATCTGAGGCTTTACTAGTATCTTTTGTTGGTTTTGGTGTAAATACTAGTTATGTTCCAAGTTATCTTGCTGGATTATTGAACACTCCATATTTAGTGACATCACTTGGATTGCAGTTACATTTGACATTATGGTCTTAGGTATCGACAATAGTCTCGCAAATATCATCAGACCATTACTTTTATTGATTGAAATAACCCATACATACAGTTTAATTGTTCAGGAATGTTGCTGGATTAACTGGGAATCTAATATTTACATTGCTTTAAGGATCGTATTGACTTGACGTATAGCTTTCTTGAGACTATTCGTCGGACACTAAATATTCTAAAATTGACTTTGAATACTAGGTGAATGAAGTATCCTTAATTGAGGGATCAATGTTCAAGAAAATTGTCTCGAGACAGAAAGCATCATCAAATGACTTTATCTTCTTCAGCTATTAAGTGATTGAAGAAATTGAGAACTTAATGCTTGGTGAATCGGCTTCTGATTACTTTAGTTCAGCCTCCTTAATATTACTATCGAATGAAAATTTCTTTATTACAAGACTAAATGATGGTGTATCTATTTATTAAGCATCTGAATTAATAACTGCATCCTAGCAGAGTTAATTTGTAAGTTACTCTTTTAACTATCTAATATCTTCCTGAAGATTGCTTAAGTTTTCTTGGCGAAGCAATCTACCAGTTATCTGCAAGGAATTATCGTACTGCATTAGATGACTAAGTACTAGGGCAAAATTTTGTTTGAATTCTGGATCTTTGTTTATGTTTTCAATGACTGAATTATCCTTTGAATATATATTTCTCAAAATATCTAAAGCTTTCTAGGCTATTGCATCGTTTAGAATAGCTGTCTCTGACAAAATAAGTTCTAGTACTTTAACTGAACCTTTAGAAATAATTACAGAGTTTTCAGGGTCATCTATTTATTAGGTATCTTTTTATATGCTATCAATAATTGCAATTTTAGACTAGATTTTCTGAAGAGCATCTGGACTGGCTGAATCGCTTGATGATTAGGAACTACTTTGATCAGAGGAAAGAGTTTAATCTGCAAATTCAGTTAGCTCTGAATATTTTTAAGAGAGTTGAGTTGTTTGAAGAATACTGCTAAGTTGAGCTTACTTTACATCCCAAGTAAAGTTACCAGTACTGTTTGATGCATTTGTCGCAGGTTTTATTGTTATTGCTGGGAAAAGGTTGAAATATGTTAACTCTCCAGAGTTGTCAGTAATTTGCACCTGATAATAGTTAGTATCATTAGGAGTGAACCTATATGGTGTATTATCACTAATCCAATCATCAGTCAAAGCTAAAGTTGGCTCTTTGGTAACATCCTTAAATGGAAAGACCTTATACTTTATGGGCTTGTTACTACTCTACCAATTCAGTATAGTGATTGTTAGTAATGTCTCATTTACGTAACCACTAGTAGGAGTAATGCTTGCAGTTCCATTTTGTGGAGGTTTCTAAGTGGTAAAAGTAAAGGTTTAAGTTCTTTATAATAATGTTGAACTATTCTTATTTGTTGCAACTACTGTTATAGTGTAATCTCTTCCATAATTAAAGCCTTATTTGGCTACTTTAAGAGTTTGATTTTTAGCGCCTAAGGTTTATGCAGCAAACAAAATTTATGGATTAATAGTCCAGACTACCTGCATTGTAGTAGGTAAGTTAGTTGCTCGGTGATTGGTAAAATCTAATGAGAACAAAGTTTCAAAAGAAGCTCTCAATGGGTTTGGAGGACTAATAGTAAACACTGGAGAAAATTGATTGATAAATTTTATATCTATCGATATATTGTAAATGAACTCAATTTTATTTTTATCTGTCCAGGTTATATTTACAGTAATAGTTGTTGCAAATTCTTGGGCTCCTCTAAAATTTATTGGACTGTTTGAAGGAATAGTAATTTGAGAAGCATTAACTAATGGGCAATAATATAGTAGAGACTCAGGGCATAGCCACTGATAATAGACTGTGTTATAGTCAGATGCTTCTGCATAAGTAATTTTAGTTCCAGCTGTGGAAATGACAACTCCTTCCCCTATTGAAATAACAGTTTAATTAGCTGAAATAGCAGGGATTAGAGCTTGCCCAGCAGTGTTAAAGTAAATAGTTTGCTTAACATTTTAGAAAACAGTGTCGTTCAAGTTTATGTTTTCTTATAGTAAGCTTAATATCTGGGTGTTTTGGAACTGAAGCCTCATAATGATATTAATCTCAGTCTATATGGGGATCTTATATTATTCTCTTTCAGGTAGAGTTACCTTGAAACTGTTATTTGAGTAATACTCAATATTTAACTTCAAATCGCTAGCTAAAGGTGGAACAAAGCTATATGAAACGTTTTGAACAAGTTGATTATAATATGAAATTTCATTGCAGTAGCTTTTTAAGTTTACTGGCTAAACCATAAATGAGACTGAAATTCTGGATTGAGGATCAGTGATATTTAAGAATTATTCACTTGATAATGAATAGTAGGAGCACGATTATGGAATAAATTTGGTATCCTTGATTTAGACAAAGGTATTGTCTTGGTTAGATATGTTTAATTTCACATTATATTAGCTTTCATCTTTGAAATATTTAGATGGAACTTTCATTATCGGACTTCTATTGATTTTTAGTGCTTGTGTTACTTTATTGAGAATCTAATCATCAAAAATCCATTGATATTATATGTTTTAGCCTCCTGTCGAAGACATTATAACTGATTCATTAGCACTAAATACATAATTTAACTCACTGTCAATAATTTCGGTATAAATGTTAGCCTAGATTGTTTGTATTGGATTTTGATAGCATTTTTTATCAATTCCTAGGTAAGTATTTACAGGACAGATAGTTAGCTCAGAATCAGAAACATAGAGAACATCAGTCAAATTAACAGCTGGATAATTTATCTAAGGATTAGAAACTTGCATGAAATTCATTTCATTATATTGCCCAATGTTCAGTTTTAAGTAAGCTAGGAAAATATCTGATGTAAATAGACGAGGATCAATTTGTCTATTTCTCCAGTATTAAATATCATTAGATGACCTTTTTTATGCCCAAATTCTAGCCTCTTTCACAAAAAGATAAGTAGAGCCTTGGGTTTTTTAAGCATTATTACCGATCCAAATTTCATAAGTGTCTGCTGGGAGATTTGTAGGGATACCAACAAGGGATTAAGATAAAATCTCATCATTTAGTTTGCTATTAGAAAGATATCCAATTAAATCCTTCTAATATTCGTAGGAGCAAGCAATATGGTACCATCCTGATTTCGCTTTATTTGCTTAGGTATATTAAGTAAATCCAATTTAAGGAGAAGTGATAGATGTAATACCAAAGGGTGCACATATTAGTTTCTGTTGTGTCGAATCGTAAACTATAGTGAAGTATTCTCTCGCCCTTTATACTCCTTATAGCGAGAATAGATACTTAGTGTTTGAGATTAACTATGATTGAGTTGTATTTAGACCTTATTTAAACCAGAATTCTACTGTTACATTACTTAATTAGCTGTCTTGTGTTAATGTTTTGGTATAAATATAACTATTTTGGCCTCTTAAATTTGGAACTGTTTAGCCATCATTACATGCTATACCATCAAAGAGTGATTTTTAATTTGAGTATAATCCAATATCACTACCAGCAATACTTACTGGTTCAGTCCAAAAAGCACCTTAATAGATTTCACTATTCTAAACTAGTTCAATGTCAACAGGGTTGATGCTATTAGAACTACAGAGATTTCTCAATTTTCTTGGATATTAACCAGCAAAACCTTTTTAAACGAAATCGAAATAAACTAAACAGTCACTACTGAGAGAATAATCAGTCAGGCTCAAATCTACATTTGGAGGAGAGAAAGGTAATTTCTGCTTTGATGTGTAGACTACCAAATTTTTTATCACATTAGTGTTGGCGAAATTTTTCAACATTGTTAAACTTTTATCTGAAACTTTTTAAGAGAAAAGTTCTCTAGTTTCTATAACAGCATCCATCTATCTTGAAAGAATATCATATGTTCTGAATTCATAACCATAATATTATGAAACAGTGAATTGTAGATTAACCCACTAATTTGATGGGACAAAGATTGATTTGGTCTGATACTCATAATAAACCTTTGAAGCATAGATATAGGCTGAAATTTGGTTTGGAGCTGGACTATATATCATGAAAGCATCCCCTAGAACAACATAATGACAATTTTATCTAGCTGTTGTTGGGCTAGAATAAAAGCAGTAATTATTCATTTTGATCCACATACTCACTGTATATCCCCAGTTTGTTAATTTAGGACTCCATCTTGAAGCAACTTAAGTCTACTTGAAATCTTGAGTTGATTAACTTTTATAAAGCTAAATATAGGTTTCGATTGGGTAGCAAATATCATTACTGATCAAATCTCTTTGTTTAGCATAAGCACCTGATGAGATCTGAATATATTTACCCTTGATCTCATCTTATAAAAAACTTTAATCTGAGAATCTATAATAAGCATTCAACTTGCTGTCCCAAAACATATAGTTGTTCTTTAAGTTAGCTGCTTGAAGTTAATCTACAAACGTTGTTAAGAATACAAAGTCTCTAAGTCCTCCTATGAATATATTTTGGTTATAAAAGCCACCAAGACTTGCTTTCCAGGGAGTCGCTGTTTGAATTAAATCTAGATAGTAGCCTTCGTCTTATGCAAGAACTCCCAAAGCATTAGATTGGATAAGCATATAGGATTATTCAAGGACCTAGCCTGCAATTGTGAGATGATACCATTGATTAGTTTTTATCTAGCTTATGTCAGTCTCCAGTCTATCTAAGAAAGACTCGCTAGTACACATCAATTTCTGATCTGTGGCAAAATAGCATTCAAGGGATTCTCCAAAAGAAAAGGCATATTAATATTCTTCACCGAAATTTTGACTCAAAGGCTTAAACCACATCATTACTGTGTAATCCAATCTAGTATTCAATTTGACTGTATCAAGTGTCAGTTATATACCCTGTAGTCCATTGAGTTTAATATAATTGACATATTTATCACGGTTGACTCCATCATTAGTAGTTGATAATATATTGCTGGATTAAAGTAGCAGAGGGGAATCAGCAGATGCAAATTATACAAGCATATTTATGATAAGGAGCATAATTACGTATATCGGAGGTTTTTTAAGTGAGCACTATCCCACATCAAATGCAACTTCTCGCATTACTTGTTCTTTGATTTTATTTCTAATTTTCATTCGATTTCAAATTATATTTAATTTCAAAACATTCTTAATAAGTAATCTACTATATTTTAGCTTTTAGGGGTTTTGGGGTTTTGGGGTTTTGGGGTTTTGGGG